AGTGTGCATGCTTGGAGCATGGGACAATTGTGGTTATAATTCAAGAGCAAAGTTGATTATCTGAAACATTAGAACAATGAATAATGAGTAGTCAATATGGTGTTTAAATAAAGGTGTTTTATTTACGCTCAAAAGGTTTTGGGACCATATAGGATTAAGTATTACTACTATGTTTCACTTTGCATGTTTTGACTTCTAGAATAACTAGGTTATTCAAACATCCACAGTCAATCATACGTTGGGAGTAGGTATGAAGGAAGACTGTCATGAATTGGTGTGTGGATTGTCTAAAGTGTATTAGACATAAGCAAAGTTTTGCTGCAACGTTCATGAGTGCTTATAAATATGATTTGAGTATTGGATTAAACCCACGCTCACGTGAATCACTTCATGGATTTTATCACGAGTGATTGTGAGACGATAATATTGTATATTCTTGAAACCGAGATGTGTGAGTTGTTATTTGCTGGTCGGTTGCACATTGATGATAAGTAAACGCACCAGTAACTTGGTGTTATAAAACTTATTGTTGTGTGTGATTTGATGAGTGAGTACAAGCGAGCATTTGAGTCGAAGTTTATCCATTCCTTTTACACAAAGTGGGATAAAAGCGATATCTGTGGGCCCGTCGATGATTTAGTGATGACACCCTAAGCGCTTGGCCAAGCCGGGACTAAGTTGATGTGTTCAATTGTATTCTGTTGTCAGTCGTCATAAATCGGAAGTCGGGAAACATCTTACAGACAGAAAGAATGTCTCAGTCTATACGATATCTAGAATGGAGGAATATATGATCCCTTATCTAGAGGACACGCTATCTGATAAGATCAGAGTTGACAGCGGCTTTTGAAAGCTACGATTGCTGATCAGGTTCTGAAGTCATGCAAAATAGTTATTAGACTTATCCAAGTGGGAGACTGTTAGATTAGTGTCTAAGTCCATAACTATTTTGGGATGTACTTGACCCGATCATGAGCATGGTCCTTTTGGGTTGCCTTCACCATAGCAACTTGTAGGATGAATTAAGGAGATAAAGGTTTAATTATGATTTATTAATATATTATAAGAATAATATATTAAAGGAGAAATCATATTGTTTAATTAATATTAGTCAAGAATTAATTAAGAATTAATTTTGTGGCTAAAAGAGATTAATTAAACTTAAGGGGACTGGAATTGTAATTATAAGATAATTGCAATTGGGCTATGGATTACCTAATAATATAGGTTGAACGAATTCTATGGGAAGCCCATAAGGAATTCGTCCAAGGGATATGATAAAAGGAGTCCATGGGCTGCTTAGGGCCTAAGCAGTCAGATTAGGGTTTCCTAAGTGCAAAACCCTAATAGCCTAAGTATATAAAGACCCCTAAGGCCCCAAAAAAGGGGCTAACTGAATCCTTAGGGTTTCTAGACGTTTTTGGGTGCCTCTCCCCTTCTCTTCTTCATCTTTGTTGCTCTTGGTGTTTGTGACTCCATTAGAGGTGCAACACTTGAGGCACTAAGTTTTCTGAAGCCAATCAAAGCAAGGAATTGATTGTTATTGCTACATAACAATCAAAGGTATTCTCTAAACCCTAATTCAGATTATAATATGTTAGATCTAGGGTTTATAGCTTTGGATATTCAATTGCATGTTCATTAGACAAACTAGATCCAAAAGCTATTAGGGTTTGCATGTACACCATAGGAATGATGTAGTGCTCAAAACCCATCAGGTTCCTGCCCAAAGATTGCATAAATAACTTCACACATAAAATATATATACACACATCCACCACTTATGGTGGCAGATGGTGGAAATGGATGGCAGAACATGGTGGCAGCCACCACCTTGTGGTGGTGGCGATGGGTTTCTAGTCAAATAACTTCCATAGCTACACATTCGACTCGTGGAAGCAGCCTTATATACAAAAACGACACGAGTCCAAGCTCCTAACCACCGACTAGGAGGCTGTGGTCGTCGGAATGAGCAGAAACGGCGATTCAAGGGCTGCCGATACCCACAGCCGGCAAGCACGACGTCAAAACACGAAAAGGACGAAGGGAAAGGGAAGAAGAAGCGACAGATGGCCTTACCGGGAGCTCCCTTTCGCTCATGATCTTCACATCGACGTACCCCGCTCCCGAAATCGTTCTCGGTAGTTCATCCGGCTGTCCCGACGTCTCCGACAGCAAGGTAGTAGCAGCGGCACTTCAATGGCGGGGGTGGCTGCTTGGCGGCTTATCTGATCGGGAAATCAAACGAATGAGAAGAGAGTTGGCGGCTGGGGAGTCACAAGGTGGTGGCGGCTACTAAGGATTAGGTTTAGGGTTTCGCTTGGGTGATGTTCTCATACAAGGGAGGAATGACGGGTCTTCACCCGTGTTCTTCCTTTAAACTTTTAATTGTTTTAACAAGTTTAGTCCCCCTCACCAGATTCATTTTCAAACATAGCCCTTAATTTACCATTTCAACCCTGCCCCCTGAAATTCCTTTCAAATCAAGCCCAAGACTTACACTTTAGCCCCTGACCCCATAAAATCTTCTCAACTTTAGTCCAATACTTACCATTCAGCCCTTAGCTCCCAACATCTCTTCAAATTAAGTCTGAATTACATTTTAACCCCCAAAACTAACTCATTACTGCACGATTCTGCTTTTAAGGCTATTTTCATTTATTAATTTGTCTATTTATTTATTAAATAAACGGGGTGTTACACATGCATGGTTGATTCACAACCATCAAGATGCTAACTTTATGGACTAGGGACCTCACAAACATCAAGAGAAGCAACTCCCAACTTTTGGAGTGAAAGAATTCCCACTAGATCTCGTTCATGGGCCCAAAAGTGACCAAAAGTCCATAAAGACTAGATCTAAGCATACAATGAGCAAGTTCCAAGCTTTATACCTCAATGAAGCTGGAAATGATGAGTAGAATTTGGATCTACAAGCTCTCCCTTGATCAAATCTCCTTCTTCAAAGCTCTTCTTCCTCAAAGATCATCAACACACACTAAAACACACACAAAGAGGGCCAAATCTTCTCTAGAGGGCTAGGGTTTCGAAATAAGGCTCAAATGGTAATGGAGGCTGAGAAAAGTGGGGATCATAGGTCATAATGTTGCTTAAATAGGGTCCAGACCCTAAAAAATTAGGTTTTGTCTTCTGGGATGTACGCCCGACGTACCCCCACTTTTCCGAAAATGGCAACAATGCCCCCTTAGGACCAAATCTGCAAACAATATACACACCAAGGGTCAAAAATGAAAAGTACCTTGAATCGAGTGTTATACTTTCGAACCTGGATCAATGACATCACAGACTTGGTGTACATTTAGCATCACTCTCATGCATATTACCCATACTATATGGTTCGTTGAGTTGAGCATGGGAACCTGAAACGATATAAAGGAACCCTCCTTGACTGTCACCTCGCCTTTTCCCTTGTTGTCGTCTCCACCTGAGTTGTTGTCTTCTCTAGCCATCTATTGTATCGTCTCCGGGCTTTGACTTCAACGATTTCACTAACAAGTAACATGACACCGCCCGTCCAAAAGCCCAACATTCATTGGCGAGTGCCCTTTTTAGTAAAATTGTCCAAGACATGGAAGTTCACTTCGACATGACTATTAGGCATAAAGCAGTTTTTTAGTGTCTAAGGGCACCACATGCTCAGGATTTTGTTATGACTAATCCTATTGACGGTCTTTGCCAGCATATGTTGCCAGTGGAATATCGTGTTATTTTCAAGTATCGCCCTTTTGATCCCTTTATTTCCGGGTGACGAGGCATGTCCTGTTTGTCGCAAGGCATGCTTCGACTCCTTTGGGGAGCATGCAGTTCATTGTAGAGAAAGTATCGACACGATCTGGTTAGGGATGTTCTTTTCGATATATTTAGGTGTGCTGGAGTTTCTGCCAAGAAAGAGGCACATGTAAACTTTCTAACTGACCCGTTGGAAGGACGTTCAACACTTAGACCAACGGATGTTTTAGTTTTTGGATGCGCTGGAGGGAAGCATGCATGTGTGGATCTAATAGGGGTTTCCCCTTTTATAGGCTTGGGGAGTAGGGTTTTCACTGCAGGGCAGGCGCTTTAAAAGATGCATCATGCAAAGTGGCCAAACACGAGAAAGCGTGCACGTTGAATCAACACACGTTTATATCTTTTGCATTTGATACTTTCGGTTTCCTTGTGTCAGATGTTGTGGAGCTCCTCAATAGAGTCCAACGGATCATGTATAGTAATGTTATGATTCCAAGATCTATAGATGTTGTTTTTAAAAGAATTAGATTTGCTATCCAAAAGGGATTGCGGCACAGTTTATTGTTCGTTTACCCGCTACATCTATGTAGAATTTTTATAGTTTAAAATCAATGAAAGCTCATATAACTCAAGAAAAATAACTCAAAACTTAGGTTACAAATGATGCTTAAGGAGCTCTATTAATCGACCTACACATAAACGATACATAGCTCTTATTTATAGATCATAATCCTTTCTTACCAAACTATTTCTTAGTTTCCTACTTGAAACAATATTCCTTATTGCCCCTTATACACCCACTTGTGCATAAGGGTAAATTTCGAAATTACACAATAAACATGTGTATTGAAAATCAATTTGCTATCCAATTATAAATTGTAATGGGTACCTAGAAAGCAATTGTAATAGGTACCTACAAATTTTATATGCAAAACTCATATGACCGAAACAACAACTATAAAATCCCTTATACATTTATATGAGTAAGCCACAAAATTGATTGGGTTTGACCCTTTGTGGCCATCACCATTTATTGCTTCTACAAAATCGAATGGGCTTGACCCTTTGGCCATCACCATTTATTGCTTCTTTGCCTAAACCAATCCAATGGTCTAGATTCTAGAAGACACCCCTTAAATGGAATCCCTTTCTTTAAAAAATATTCCAATAACTATATTTTATGATAAAACATTTGTCATGTTCATGTTTCTAATAATTCACAACATACATAAAATTGGAATTTAAAATCTGTGAGTTATTCTAAACAAGTTCTTTTTATATTTTTGAAACAAGAAAAACCTCGCCATCAAACACTACAACTATACACACTCTTTCGTATTCACAATCACACTACACAAAACAAAAATCATTGATAAACCGATCACGCAATAGAATTACGCCTTCGTTTCTGAAACAAGAATCGGCTTTCGGAACCCGGTCCGCTTCCAACACCCCTAACATCTTTAAACTTAAACAAAGTATTCAGTTTCCCAAGTTTCTTCGTCAATGATTTAAACAATTTGTTGGCAGGATGCGACTTCACGAGCTCTTGTTTCATCGAAACATGATCTTTTTCAAGATCTGTAAGCCGCATTCTCATTCGGGTCACTTCTAGTTTAAGTTCCCTGTTTTCTCTCCTAACGGATGCGTAATTGTCCCTAGGAGAGATGCACCCACTTCCTGCACCGCTGCTAGAGCGTTGCGGAAACTGGGTGTTTAATGACCCGAAAAAGAGGTGATTGTGGCCCCCGTTCATTGCGTTTCGAAGCCGGATTTGCTCAAAGTAAAGCACCTGAACTGCCATTTGCACCGGGAGACGTTCGTTTTGAGCCGCGTGGCTACACGCCTCTTGACTCAGTTTTTGGCAGTCAATTGTTTTGCACAACCGGTAACGCTCCGAATCCTTTAGATTTGGGTGAACCTGCCATTCCACCACAAAATTCCATCATACAATATTGAAATCGGGTGCGCATTTATGACATCAATGCACACATGTATCATTTCAAGGTGCGTTTTACGTATAAAAACACATTTCTCACCTTCAAAAAGATGTCTACGGCTCGATATAATCCATCATTGACCAATCGAGCATGATCCGGGAGCAATTCCGCTAGTGCAATGAACTTGGATGCGGGTAAATGCGAATCTATCGCAATCTCTGTAAGAAAACAGTCAAGTAGCTTTGACACTTTGAGGATGGAGCTCTGTTTTGGTGATGAAGGTGTGTCGAAATCGTACACCATTTCACCTTCATCCCTCATCAGATTATCATCGTCATCATCATCTTCATCCAAATTCAAGAAGATGGAAAAGATCCTGAAGATTGAGTCAGTGTCGTAAAGCTGTGTATGATTGTTTCCATGTGAATTTGCTGGGATGAGTATGTCTTCGAGTATCACCTGATCGAGTTGCAGACCGATTCGTCTCTCCAGATCAGACCTACAAGCTGTGGATGTGGATGCCATGATTGAAGACTTGAGCAAGCTTGAAAGAAACGCCATTGGCACAGTGCTTTTTCTGGATTGTGTGGGTAATAAACCAACGATCATTTCAACAATCACTCTATGCTTCTTCTGCAATTCCAGATCAGAGAAACTTCCTTTTAGGAGCTGGGGGTCTCTCAAGAACAATCCCTGCAGCGAATTCTGTGCATAATTCATCAAGATTCTGGCGATCATATCCTGTTTTAGGCCTCTCGTCTTCACTGCTGTCAAGACCCGTTGAAAGAAATCGAGGCTAAGAACAGTCAACGATTTCCCCCACCAGTTGTCCGATTCCGATGGTAAAAGTACTGGTTTTGAAGGATAGTTACTCTCTAGTTTCGATAACCCACAAGTCAACTGCTCTTTACAAGCGTTATTCGCGATAGCTGTAATGATTCTTGTGACTAGATTAATCTCTTCCGCCACCGGTAACATGTTTTCGCAATGGTGTAGAACTGAAATCGAACTGGTTATGTTAGGAAGAACAGTTTCTTTCAGGAATGTTTCTGTACGCATTTCGAGATTCTTATCGGAAAATTCTTCAGTCATTTCCAAGAAATGAGACGTGCAGCGAAGCTTTGCCACGTTGGCTAGATTGATCTCGACATTCACTCCGTAGCAAAACTTTGCAGCGAGTTCAAATGCTTCGGATCCACCAGGTACATTATGAAGATTTATGCGTATAACTTTGGAGTCTTTAGCTTCCATTAGAAGCTTCCGGATCCTTCCACTTTTGGAAACCAACGGGAACTGCAAAAAAAGAACGGTTTAAATACTAAAGCACATCATCATCATCATCATACAATTGCGATAGAAAGTGACAGGAAGATATGAGTTTTACGTACCTTATGAAGTGCAAAACTTGCTGATCCTACATCGATTGTCAGATCGCTGGAAACATCGGATATTGGCCTATTATGAGAAAGATCCATTACTCTTTTTGATCTCTATAATATATCAAACGAAATCTATATTCACGTTCGAAAAAGGTTCACAACGGATTCACCCATAATAAGTGCTTCGGAACCATATCAAAACATGAAGAACACACATGAATCATGAACACACATATATATATATATATATATATATATATATATATATATATATATATATATATATATATATATATATATATATCAAGCATTTTTTTTGTACACAAATTCATCCTCGGGATTACAATCCGTTACAAATATTGCTGAAGAATCATTGATTTCAAGGATTTCAGTCCAAAAAAGGTGAAAACACCCAAGAACACAAATGAAGCAGCAGCTGGGATTTGTATGAGAGTTCTAAAAGGGGAGTTGAATATCTGGTACCATGATTGAAATTGAAGAACTTGAGGGGGAACATGTGACCCCATCATTTAACATGAAACAATTTGTTCTTTTTGTTTTCTTCTATAACGAAACTCGAATAAAATTTCCGTCATTTTCAACCATGTGAGAGGCCTCTTTTGATTCAAATTTTTTATGGGATGTTAGCAAGTTTTGCATCAACATGTTCAAAGTTTGAGGTTTCATGTTAGAATCCATTGGCACACAAGTCTTGATATGTCATGGTCAATGCACATCTTGTCCCCACTCCTCATTGTTCAGACTTGTTTACAATAATTTCAAGATCTTATAAGAAAAATTACGTTTCCGCCTTCCAATTCACTTGTATCGGAGTCGGTGGTTATTATTATTATTATTATTATTATTATTATTATTATATATTTACAAGAAAAAAGCTAAAACTCGCTAACTAGTCGGTGTTGGATTTGTGTTTTATAGGTAATTATTATTAAATTAGATAATGAATTACTTAAAACAATTTTTTTTAAATGCATATAAAGTTATAAAATAATTGAATATTTTTATATTTATCTTAAAAATCTGTTTTTGTAGTATAGGTTCTTACATACTCAATCACTAAACAGTAAAACTAATAATCAGTTTAAAGTTTAAACACGCATCTAATGATCTAAACACCTGGTAACATTTTCTTCGAAGACAAAAGAATCAATTACCTTACGCTCGGATGATTAGAGTTTGCTTAAGATATCAACGTTTTTTCCAATGGAATTCTCGAATCTTATAATTAGTAATGTCAATTAACTGAATACATAAGATTTCAGGAAGATAGGCTTTTATGGGTCTTGAAAGTAAAAATAAAGAACGTCTTTCTTATTCATATCTTTCTAATAATTCATTACTTGATACTTAATTATGAAATCTAAACTCAACATTTATAAATTACTGTAAGGAAATTCAGAAATTCTTGAAACCAAAAGAATCTTTGTGGGTCTTGAAAAAAAAAATCTTGAAATTACTTTATTTCCAAAGGGCATTTTTTTTTTCATAAACGAACACACATCTAGCGATACATTTCTAATAATTCATTAATTAATACCTAAGTAATTATTGAACTAACTCTAGCATTTATATATTACCGTAAGCAAGTTCAGAAATTCTTGAAAAAAAATATTAAATTACTGAATTAAAGATAAGATTTTTTTGTCGAAAGTTATGGGTTCGAAATATATTTATGTTAATAATTCACTTCCATATAGATTTTATAGAAAGAAGGTTTACCATCAATAATGAATTTTCACACCCAAAAAAAAATTATAATCGTAAATTTTGCGCCATTCAAAGATTTTCTATCTCCACTTAATTAGGGTACTACAAGGAAGCTCATGAATTTGAATCTTGTTTCTGTTGTAATTATTCAGTAATTCCATATATCAAATGAAATTCAAAGCTAGAAAGAGGTGTTTACCATTCGATAACATGCCGTGTACTGGAACTTGGTCGAAACGATCGTTTTCCAGAGATGCTTGGCTTCAATTCACTCATGGTAACAACACCCATTCCTTCAACAACAAGAATAAAACCCAGTTTTGCTCAGCTGAGTCGAGGCATATGTGTGTGTGTGTTTGTGTGTTCTGAAAAGCGAGAGGAATGCATGCAGGATTAAAGGGAAGGGTAATTATGCTTTATTTGAGTGGTTTTTCGATTTGATTAATTAAAAGTCAAAAATGTTGAGACAGCACTGTTGGTCACTTTTCGGTGCCTTTTTCCACTATGTGTTATATATATATATATATATATATATATATATAATATATAATATATATATATATATATATATATATATATATATATATATATATATATTCCATAATTGTAAAAAGAATAAAATATTGTTTGGATGTCTTTCACTTAAAATTATAAATTGTTAAACAGTGGCGGTCAAGACGTGCAAGTGATGCGGTTGTATGAGACCTCCGAATTTAGTGACAAATATATAGGTATGGTGTTGGCACTTTCAAAAATGCATTTTGATGTGTTATTATTTAAGAAAATTAGCAATGTCGGTTAGTTATATACACAATGTAACATTGGTTGCAATTTTGAAGTAATTTTAATTGTGAAAAAATCAATGAAAATCAAAAAATCAAAAAGATCAAACCCTAAAAAACCTAATAATGGTGTAAATAGATTATCGATGTTGTTCGTCTCTCTCACCGAAAAGTATCGTTTGGCTGTCTTGAATTGTGATATCTCGCTCAGTCGCCAGTCACCACTTTGTCCTTTACTATGTCCTCTATGTGACTCCTTGACTACATAGTGTAACATTCTGTTTCGAGATAATCTTAACTTGAAGGTTCAGACGGTAATTGATCTGGTCCAGGTCTTAAAGGATCAACTTTCGACCTTAAGGAATAAGGTTTTTGGGCTTGGTATTAAGATTTTGAGCTTAGAGTGATATTGGACATAAATCAAATTTTGGGTTTACTGGCCCAGGCGTACCTGTTAACACGCTGTAGCGGGCGTATTAAGCAAATAATATTTCACTGCTGGTTACACTAATAATATAACACGGGGAAGCAGGGTCGAATCCTCAGGGACACAGTCTGATGGTTAATGCATTTTTGCATCAGACACATTCTAGTCAATAAAACAAAAATTATAAAAGGGGGTTTTTTGAACTAAACTAAAAACTAAAAATGGCAGTGAAAATAAATTAAATAAAAATCAATAATAAATATGATATCAGTTCTGCTGCGAGTTTCCTAATCATACAATCAGCTCATATCTGGTTATTCAGAATGTGTTCTATCTAAGCTGATACTAAGAATAACTAACAAGTTCTAGTATAATCTCGTTTACCTAATTAAATTAACCACAACAAGCTCTTCAGTTAACCCTAACTTTTTATTGTCTAATTAAACAAGCTTTTAATTAAGATCAGAAAAGTTGCATTAAGTTATGTGTAAAATTCCCACCAATACCCAATACTTCTCACAAGCTTGAAAGCGTAAATATATAATTTTTACAGTTTATATCAGAGTTAAATCCCTACACGGAACCAATCTGATACTTAATTGTTACTTATTACCGGTTGACAAGAACAATTACGGATTCTATTAACTGATTAACTAGAATGATAAAACTCTAGCTAGGTGATCAAACTAACAAGAATTAAAATCAAACGTTCATTAAGCTTAAAACTGGAAAAAAAAATCTAAATAGAAACACAAAAAGAAAACCAGATCTGAAAACTAATCACATGAAAAGTATTACTCTATGCAAAACTGAAACCTAGGGTTTTATCCATACATGGCTAAAATCTGATCTAGAAGAATAAAAAGAACATTAAACTACTTAATCTTACTAAACTAAACATGGGAGATTATCCACAACCTTCAGATCTTCAGAAAGTGATGAAAAGTGCAGAAAAACGTCTTCAAAAGGGTTTTTCGTCATTTGGAATCGTCTCTCCAATCGACATTGAGGGTATCCGGTATTTATATAGCAGTCTGGGTAGAAAATAAGGGTTCCAATGGTAAGCACGGCCCGTGCTTGGGGGGCACAACCCGTGCTAGGTCATCGCAATTGAGATTTCGGAAAAAATCAGAAAAAACCAAAAATTTGGACTTCGATGGGTAAGCACAACCCGTGCTTGGGGGGCACAGCCCGTGCTTGGGCTTCGTAACTTATAACACCCAAGATAAAGGCATCTGGAGGTAGGCACGACCCGTGCTTCAGAGCCAAAATTTTCAAATGCCTAAAAAATATTAGAAATCCTCCGGTTATGTTTCGTAAGTGAAGAACGACCCGTCTTTGGTAAGATATAGCCCATATTTGGTCTTTTTTTAGCTTTTTGGCTCCATATAAGCTCCATATATACTCCAGATGTGCTCCAAAGACTTTCAAACTCCCGTTCCACTTCAAATTACTTGAAACTAAACACCAAAAACATGAGCAGTTTGGGAATTCTTACGAATACATGAGTTGAACATTATTTAAACTAATGCACATGAAAAAAGCATAAAAAATGATTCAAGATGCTAATAAAAACTACCCTAAAAGATGCATAAAATAACATCTATCAAATCTCCCCAAGCTTGAACCTTACTTGCCCTCAAGTAAGAAAAATGATTAAACATTATAAACAAATGGAAAGATGTAGATGACCTAAAAACAATTTAGAATAAAATAAAGGAAAATAAAAACTTGAAATAAAAATACTTCACTCTTTTTTTTCACATGATCAAATTTCACAACGATGAAGCTCCAATGAAATCACTACCTAGACAACAGCCTCAATACCTTTATTGCAGATTCAGAATTCATATTTAATAAGTCAAACCACGCCTGAGCAAATAGTTTTTACGCCGAATTAAATTTGTGAAAACATTGTATTTTTTTAAAATAATTTCATGAAAATTCGTTAATAAAAACTTAGTTTGACCAACCCCTCCTTTTTTTTGAACTCGTCCAGTAAACGTGGTAAGCTCCATTATGGACAGAAAATTCAAGCTTACCCCTATGATTCCACTATTGAGGGATCTATCTCCTTATACCATATATATTCTTTGTCTTGATCAACTCTTCAGATTTAACTTTGTTTGGTTCTTGATTTCAACTTGGATTTGACTTTGAATTTCAGATTTCTTCAAGTTTCTTGATGTATCATTTCTAACAAATATATTTACTGGGCGTGGATTTTACTTTAAGTCCCATGTCATCTTCAATACTTCAAAAATGATAATAAATTGTGGGTATAACAAGAGTTCCCTCCTAACCTTAAAAGGCGCAAAAACTATAGGATTCAGTACTTCAAGGAAAGAAATGGGTTATCAAATCTAGGTTCTTTTTATGGCATTCAAGGAAATTGTTCCTAAAACCCTGTTTGTTTTTTCATCCCACACTTCCATTGTAAAAATTATTTGATTCAGATGTTGGTTCATATTTCGAAAACATTTAAAGCACTTTCAAAAGATAATTCTTAAAATTGATTGTAATGAGACTGTTATTTTCGGTAACTATCACACTCATCTTAACAGAGCTATCAAATATAAAAAGATATCCTCATCTCATGTAAAAAAAATTAATTTTTTTGATTTTTTTTACTATTTTTGGAATTTTTTTAATATGCAGAAAATAAAAAAAATAAAAAACTAAAATAACTAGAAATAAAATGTGTTTGGGTTTTTTTTATAAATGCATATAGGAAAATATTTTTTGGATTTTTTGAATTTATTATGAAAATGCAATCTAGAAATAAAATGCAAAAAGGAAAGCAAATAATAAGCAAATAATATTTCACTGCTGGTTGCACTAATAATATAGCACAGGGAAGCAGGGTCGAATTCTAAGGGACACATCCTAATGGTTAATGCTTTTTTGCATCAGACACATTCTAGTCAGTAAAACATAAATTATAAAAGGAGGTTTTTGAATTAAACTAAAAACTAAAAATTGCAGTGAAAATAAATTAAATAAAAATCAATAATAAAAATGATTTCAGTTCTGCTACGACTTTCTTAATCATGCAATCAGCCCATATCTGATTATTCAGAATGCGTTTATCTAAGTTGGTACTGAGAAAAGCTAAGAAGTTCTATTATAATCTCTCTTACCTAATAAAATTAACTAAAACTACCTCTTCAGTTAACCCTAACTTTTTACTGTCTAATTAAACAAGCTCTTAATTATGATCAGAAAAGTTGCATTAAGTTCTATGTAAAATTCTCAGTCATACCCACTACTTCTCACAAGCTCGGAAGCGTAAAGATATGATTTTTACAGTTTATATTAGAGTTAAATCCCTAACACGGAACCAATCTGATACTTGTTACCTATTACCAGTTGACAAGTACAATTACAGATTCTATTAACTGATTAATTGGAATGATAAAACCCTAGCTAGGTGATCAGACTAACAAGAATTAAAATCAAACGTTCATTAAGCTCAAAACTCAAAAATCTAAATAGAAACACAAAAAGAAAAGCAGATCTGAAAACTAACCACATGCAAAGTATTAGTCTATGCAGAACTGAAAACTAGGGTTTTAGCCAAACATGGTTAAAATTTGATCTAGAACAATAAAAAGAAACATTAAACTACTTAATCTTATTAAACTAAACGTGGGAAATGATCCACGGCCTTCATATCTTCAGAAAGTGATGAAAAGTGCATAAAAGTGCCTTCAGAAGGGTTTTTCGTCGTCTGGAATCGTCTCTCCAATCAACTTTGAGGGTATCTGGTATTTATATAGCAGTCTGGGCAGAAAATAAGGGTTCTGGCAGTAAGCACGACTCGTGCTTTGGGGGCACGACCCGTTCCAGGTCATTGCAATTGAGATTTCGGAAAAAATCATAAAAAACCAAAAATCTAGACTTCGATGGGTAAGCACGGCCCGTGCTTGGGCTTCGCAAGTTATAAAACCCAAAATAATGACATATGGAGGTAGGCAAGACCCGTGCTTGGGAGGCACGACCCGTGCTTCAGGGCTGATATTTTCAAATGCCTAAAAAAATCAGAAATCCTCCGGTTATGTTTCGTAAGTGAAGAACGACCCGTTTTTTGTGAGATATAGCCCGTATTTGGTCTGTTTTTTAGCGTTTTGGCTCCATATAAGCTCGAGATATGCTCCAGATGTACT